TGTGTGTGTGTGTGTGTGTGTGCACATGTGCACAGGAGGTGGTGGTAGTAGTATTGATTCTTGCATACTTTTGGAGGGGAAGGGTATAGAGGACATTAAGTTTATCCTGCTCTAGTGATTCATTTTGCAATGAATGTTTATAAAACAAGTCATCTCCTCAAGCCCTTGAATGCGTCCTGCCTCAGCATCTTGCCTAGGATCTTGTTTTCTAGTATCATGATGCCTGCTCGCACTGTGCTTTCCAAGTTAGTGGTGTTCCTGCCAAGCTAAGCCAGCAGGTTTTGGGGTTGGAATGAAAAGGGCTACTTCATGACAAGAGCACAGCACTTGTACTGGAATGCAGACTCACTTTTGGTAAAACAAAAATTAGTACAGTCTTAGTCAAGAAAACACTTGGTGAAGCTGCCATCATTTTAGCCTACATGGTTTGATCAGTACAGAGAAGAGAATAAACAGTCACATTTAAAACCTGAATCACTAAAAAATTCAATCCTGAAATTGATCTGATAGGTTCAGCATGAGGACAACAAATCAGTTGAATCCCTGAGAAAAATTTCTTGACTCCCTATCCCTTATATTTTATGAAGGGATAGTGATAGGAAAAATTGTATCATTAACATTAATTGGAAATTAGGTATTTCTTTGACATTAAGTTGTTGTCAGTTTAGTAGCATCACTGCTAAAGACAAAAGCCACAAGTAAGATGCCATCGTTGGATGAGGGTTGTATCATACCACCATGGCTGACACATCATAGACTGAATCGTTGCTCTTAGTCAAAAGGTGCCAGCAGCTATAGAATCTGTTTTCTCCTTTTTCATCACTGACACCTTGATGCAATTTGACCTTATTGCTCAGTGTTGAAGGGAAGTGAGAGCTGAAAAGCAACTCTTTTGCATGCTTAATTTTTGGAAAAGTATCAATAAAAAGGAAGTTAACTTGGAATACTCTTAAAATTTTTAATTTGGAATGGATTTACAGAAAAATTACAATAATAGTTTCTCAGTACTCCTCCCCTAGTGTCCCCATTAACATTACTGTGGAAACTTCTTCATAACTAACATTGATACAGTTTTTTCAAATTCCACCAATTTTTCCCTAATGTTCTTTTATGGTCCTCTTCTTCCTATTGGGGCTTAGAGAATGATACCCAAAGTGACCTTCTCCACCCTTCTGTTCCTCATTCTCACTTTCCCCCAAAACAAACCATAGAAACAAAGATATCTCTTCTCCCAGGTGGTCGTAAACACCAGGACCACTGTTCCCCAATGCCAGTCATAAAAACCTCGAAAAGCTACTCTTAACTTTTCCCTGCCTTTCTGTTTAAGAACTGACCATAAAGAAATTCTCTATCCTACCTCATTTGATTGTAGGTCATAAGAACACCATTCCAGAGAAGATCCTGCCCTATACCAGGAAGGAAGAAACGCCAAACAGGCCAAGAAGAGTCTGAACAGACAGGCATTGCCCTTCAATCTACTGCTATTAGCCCATCCTCTTTTTGTCCAGTCATTTTTCTGCCCAGTCATTCATGCTTCACACTATAGTTCACTATACATCTTTGAGTATTCAGTTGGAAGTCTCTCATGGCACATAAAACTGATCAAGCTTGGTGTTTTTCTCTCTTTAGCCTATCTTTTGTTATGACTGTCTCTCATAAAGCAGGAAAGGCATCACACCCTTTACTCCCCTACAGTTTCATTCAGGATATCATATTGCATTTAACTGTCATGTCTTATTAGTCTCCACTGGTGTGTGGCAATTTCTCTGACCTCCCATGTTTTTGATTACCTTAATAATTTGAGGAGTTCTTGTCAAGTATTTTGTAGAATATCTCTCAGTTGTGATTCATCTAATACATTTTTTGAAAAATCATCTAATGTTAATAAGTTCTTAGCAGGAAGATTATACAACAGTAAATGTCATTCTCATCCTGTCAAGAGTATGGAGTATGTGCTGTTGTCAGCATGAAT